TCTTTTTTTTTTTTTTTGAGACAGTATCTCACTCTGCCACCCAGGCTTGGAGTGCAGTGCTGTGATCACTGACCACCACAACCTCAACTGCCCAGGGCTCAGGTGACTGCTACTTCAGCCTCCCAAGTAACTGGGACTACGTGTGTGCACACCCAGTCTGGCTAATTTTTGTATTTTTTGCAGAGACAGGGTTTTGCTATGGTGCAAGGTTGAAACAGGGTGGTCTCGAACTCCCGGGCTCAAGTGATCTGCCTATCTTGGCTTCCCAAAGTGCTGGGATTATAGGCATAAACCACCATACCCAGCCTCATATTTTACTTTAAAATTTTCAATCACGATAAACGAACGAAGTAAAGATTATACAACAACATTCTTTAATCACAATATAGGAAAACTAACAATAATAAAAAACCCAAACAACAAAAGTCTTTACCTCTTAGAAATTAAGATATTCTTTTCTAAACAACTTGGTTCAACTAAAAAATATAAATAAAAAATGTAGAACATTGAAAAATAATTGTAACAAAAACTTTGTGTAATAGAAACTATAAGAAATAGCTAAGCAGTACTTAAAGGAGATACAGCCTTAAATAAACAACAGAATGAAACAAAATCAAATTAAACATTCAACTCAAGAAGTTTGAAAAAGACAACAAAATAAATGAAAAGAAAGCACACAAAAATTCATAAAGATATCTGATGAAATTAGTGAGTTAGAAAACAGACACAGCAACTGGTAAAATCAAAAGTTTGTCCTTTCATATAAATAATAACTGAGATAAACTGAAAGCTAATGGAAACAGGAAAAAGTGAGAAAGTACACATATAAAAATTAGAAACAAGGGGCAAATTGGCACAAAAACAAAGTAAATTAAAAGGCAAGAGAATACTTTGCTTAAGTCTCTGCAAACAAATTGAAAAATTTAATGAAGAAAGACAAATTTCTAGGAAAATGTATTTACTTATTAGAACCCCAGAAAAGGTTGAAACTATTAAATGACCAGTTTTTATGGAACACAGAAAGTTATCAAAGAGCTTTCCCTTGGAAAAACATCCAGAGAAATCTACCTTGCCCTTAAAATGCAGGTAATTCCACTGCAATTTAAACTGTTCCAGCTCATAGAAAAGCAACGATCACAAGCATCACAAATTCTGGCAAATAATGCACAAAAACAAAACTTTGGATCAACTTCACTTACAGATGTTGAGGGAAAATCCTAAGTTAAATATCAGCCAGAAGAGTTCCACAGCACATTAAAATAATGAGATAACATGATCAAAGGAAGTTTATTCCAGGCAGGCAAAAGAGTGGTTCAATAGGAGGAGAAGTCATATGACCATCTCCACCTAAGCTGAAAAGGCATTTGAAAAAAATCAACATTCATTCTTGATAAAGACATCCAAAAATGGAAAATAAAATAGAAACTCTAGAAATAGATCTAAGTATACAGATGTCCATAGTGTATGCTAAAGGTGACATCTCTAGTCAGAGATGAATAATAAATGGTGTTGAGGCCATCACTGAAGCAGTGGCATCTGAGTCTTTATTTATAACTTTTATTTACATTTTATGTATATGTTTTATGCATATGTATGACCCATTCAAAATAAAATAATATACAATGGTGACAATTCTGCTTTAACAGGCTAAAGGGCTTTTTGGCCATTACAAAGCTTCCTTTATTTATGAATAAATGGGCTTGTTATCCAATACACAAGCAACTCCTACAATCAGTAAGAAACATACAGGAAATCCAATGGGAAAATAAGCAAGACACACAAAAAGGCAATTCATAGAAGGCTATTAAGTCTATAAAGAAATCTTTGTCCTCACCATTAATCAGATAAATTAGAACCACACAGGAATACTGGCTTATCTGCCTGGCAAAAACTAGGAAGGTGAAAAACAGCAAGTGCTGATGAAGGATGTGAAGAAACGAGTTTCAAGAGGGCAGGGACATTGTCAGCATGCTCTTCCTTGAATCCCCAGGAGAACTGATTTTTGCACTTGTGGATGCCAGTGTGTCCACACCTCCCTGGGTCTGTCTTCTTGGTTGGTCGCCCTCTGAACTGATTCCGGGCTTGGGCATGACTTGTTTGGCTGCTGGGAAAACAACAAATATAATTCAATTAGAGATTTGTAATGTTTGTGCTTTAAGGCTTGTCCTCTCATGCTGCTCTTTGGACCCTGAGACTGCCATATGAAGAAGCCCAGACAAGCCTCCTGGACGATGAGAGACCCCATGGTGCAGAGATGAGCTGTTTCAGCTGAGGCCCCAGTGATATGATGGAGCCAGCTCCCCACTGACCTGGAGGCTGATGTGTGGGAGAGAGCGCCCAGCTGACTAAGATAAAAAGTGCTTAATCGTATTTTGCTGAATGAACAAATCTGTGATTTAAAGCAAAGTGGAACAGAAAAATTGCCCAGCTACAGAGATCTCAACTATCGAGGACAAAGGTTTGCAACCATTAAAAAAATTCAAAGACCATCCTATGGATTTGGAAGAGCCACTGGCTTCCACAAATGCAAGTTTGTTCATTCAGCGCACATAGTTGTCATTGGGGCAGTGGTACACGTACCACAACTCTGCGTGATGAATCAACATTGTATCAACCTGTGACCACTATGTATCAACATGTGACCATTGGGAAGGAGATTTAATAATCATTCAGATGCATAAATTCTGGTGTTTAAAGAAATGCAAATCTAGCTCATTGGTTAAGATTAGTAGGAAAATCCATAAACTGGGTTTGAAATGTTATTAGTTCTGTGACCTTAGGCTCACTAGCCTCTGAGTGTCTCACTCAGAATGGAGATAATAATACCTGCCTTCACCAGGCGCGGTGGCTCATGCCTGTAATATCAGCACTTTGGGAGACTGAGGCGGGTGGATCACCTGAGGTCAGGAGTTTGAGACCAGCCTGGCCAACATGGTGAAACTCTGTTTCTACTAAAAATACAAAAAATTAGCTGGGCGTGGTGGTGCGTGCCTGGAATCCCAGCTACTCAGGAGGCTGAGTCAAGAGAATTATTTGAACCTGGAGGCAGAGGTTGCAATGAGCCAAGATCGCGCCACTACACTTCAGCCTGGGCAATAAGAGTGAAACTACATCTCAAAAACAAAAAACAAAACAAAACCTGCCTTGACAACTCATAGCTTTGTTCTGAGAATTTTATAAGACAGCGGAGTGAGTGCGATTTGTAAAGTGAGAAGCTACACCGAATAATGGAGAGGCTGATGCACCTTTTACCCACTGGCACCTCATGCCTCATTCCACAACCCAGGGAATGTACGTTGGCTTTACCCTTTATTTAATTTTCCCTGAGGCCATGCCGAGCTCCTTGGGACCTAGTAGGCCTTTGAAAAGCTTCTGTTTTTATTCATTGTAACTGTCAGAGGCAGCCATGTAGAAACTAACCCTGTTACAGAATGTCTTCTAATTTGGTAAGGAGCTTAAATGACGTGAAGGGGGGAATAATGAATAGAGCAACTGGTGAGCAAAATTAAATTTCTTGCTCAGGCCCCTGGCTGGCTCTGGTGAACATTCACATAACCGAAGTGTTCGTGCTAGGAAGGTCTCTTGTGATTAAAGGAATATTGAAGAATATTTATTTCATAAAAGAGATGACATTGTAATAAATGGTCCCAGGCCTGCACTCCCTTTGGATAGAAATGCTCCGTTAGGCAGAGCCCTTGGAGAGATTCACTGTTTGGTGGTGATATATCAAAAGCTGTCTCTTTATTAAAACTCCATACTGAGGTTGTTCTATGTGCAAAATTAGTTGGTTTAACTGTTCAGTGTTTTTATCTGTGCTAGTGTTTTTATCACCAAAGCATAGGTCATGCTGTCTACCGTCTCACCCAGAGAAGGAGACCGTTTGGCAACATGACTGCTGGTTTCATCTAGCCTCAGTTTAATAATCCCAGTAACGGGAGGCAGAGGCTGTGCTACCAAAGGCACTCCTTTGGTAATTGTTTAAACAAAGCACCCATGTTTGTTCTTGTTTTTTTCTAATTCTGTCCTCTGTGGCATGACAGAATATGTTTCCTTTCTCTCCGTGGCTCAAATGTATCGTTTTTGGAAGAGCAGACATCCTTCGTGTTTCTATTCCTCCCTCTGACCGCTGCTTTTCCCTTTCTTTTCTGCTCCCCCGATGACAGTTGCAAATCCTAATGATCCAACCGTATTTTAGCTTCCTCAAGTTCCGCACCCTTGCCAACTCTCTCCTCAGACTTCTCCCATGATTATTACCTAAGTTGGAAAAAGGTGGTATCTTTAGCACCACAGTTTAAATAATATTTCCACTTACCATTTCTACAAGTTTCTCTAGGGTCTTCAAACTTTGGCCAGTGTATTTAAGATGTATATTGAATAGATTCTGGTATTTTTCAAGAAGTGATAAATGATAATTATTTACATTTTTTAATTATTAAAACTGACAATACATCAGTAGGATTCTAAGTAGACCAGCTAAAGGAGATCATATTAGCCTTTAAAGTATCTTAGCCTTGGTGGGCAGAGTCTTTGTGTCCTCCATGCTTCCTTCACCACAGTGCCTGACACATAGTAGGTGCTCAATTAATGTTGAATGAATGTGTGAAAAAATCAGGCAAAAATTTCTACGTATGTACTTGTATTTATGAGGACATGAACAATTCTGTAAACATCTTGAATGCAGTAGGAATTTATTGGGATGATAAGAAGGCAGCAGGACCTGGTTAGCATCTGCAGGAAGGACCTCTTGATGAGATGAGTTTAGTTCCATCACATGTAACCACTTAGCTACATTAGAGGTAGAGCTAAGAGGAATGTGATATGGTTTGAACCTGTGTCCACACCCAAATCTCATTTTGAATTATAATTCCCACATGTTGAGGGTGGAAGGTGATTGGATCATGGGGGTGGTTTCCTCCATGCTGCTCTCGTGATAGTGAGGGAATTCTCGCGAGGGTTGATGGTTTTAAAAGTGTTTGGCAGTTTCTCCTTTACTCACTTTCTCTTGCTGCCTTGTGAAGAAGGTGTCTGCTTTCCCTTCTGCTGTGATAAGTTTCCCAAGGCTTTCCGGAGGCTTTCCCAGCAATGCAGAACTGTGAGTCAATTAAACCGCTTTTTTTTTTTTTTTTTTTTATAAATTACCTAGTCTTAGGTCGTACACTTTATAGCAGTGTGAAAACAGACTAATACAGACCCTGAACTGGATGTTTTTTCCTTAGGTGTGTCTGCCAATGAAGAGAAATTTTAAAAACTGTTAGAAATGAAAATGTGTGTGTGTGTTTTTAGAATCCCAATTATACAATATGCCACTGGGCAGAGACTGTGCTTTGCAATGATTTCTCTGAAGAAGAGCTGGAGTCCATTTCTGTTCATTACGAACCCCTTCTCCACTCCTTTTGAGATCTCTGATTCTCTGTGGCCAATGCCTCTGTCATCTTTGCCTTTTTCTACTAACATGGCTGTGTTGAATAAAACCTTCCCTCCTTGAGTGTGCTAATCATTGGAGAAATCAGTGGGAGTGTGAATAATGGAAGGAAATAGAACAGCCAGAGTGGTGGAGCACTCCCTAAATCAACGGCTCCAAATCTTCTGGATTTCTTGAACTAATAACAAATGCAAACATTTTGTACTTTGTCAAGTAATGATATTAAAATTTTTTTTCAAATTAACACCTTCATTCATCATTGTTTCATAAAGAATTGGAACATTTCTGGAGCTGTTAGTGCAAGACATAATTATTTTAACAAAGGCCAATTCTTTAAACAGAATAAAGTTAGCTTTATATCACTTTTTTAAAAAATTTCACCACAGCAACATTTTGGCATAGGCCAGAAAGGATAGGGTAACCACTTCCACGCTGAGCTGGATGGCTGGGAGGCATAGCAGTGGCAGGAGGGCTGCCCCAGCCCTGGGTCCTGGGGCTCACAGGACATCACTTGGCTGGATCTGGCTAGTCAGGTGGTGACCAGGCTAATAGGAATTTGTACATATTTGCAGATTTGATGAAATTTACAACACTTCTCTTGGGTAATGACTTTCCAATCAGAGTTGTCATCACAATGACCCTACTAAGGGCAGGTAAATATCAGATAAAAATTTTTTGGCCTGAAGAAATAGTTACGACTTCACAGTTCAATTGGTGGGAGAATTCTGTGGTCATCTCTGTAAGGCTGTAGTTTTGTACCAAATTTAAATTGTCCCTTTCAAAATATTCCATTATTGGTATTTTTCTGCTTGTGAGGAAGATCATGTTTTAAGTGTAAGATTTGTGGTTTTAAACAATAGAAACCAACTTATGTTGAATGTTGAAACCAATAAATGTTAAACAATAGAAACCAACTTATGTTATTTAAATGTCCTTAGGTAGATAAGGACATTTAAATAACCCTTTTTTTTGAGACAAGATCTCACTCTCTCAGGCTGGGGTGCAGTGGTATGATCTTGGCTCACAACAGCCTCAACCTCCTGGGCTTAACTGATATTCTTGCCTCAGGCTCCAGAGTAGCTGGAACTACAGGCTTGCTCCACAATGTCCAGCTAATTTTTGTATTTTGTAGAGATGGAGTTTCACCATGTTCCCAGGCTAGCATTCCCTGGGCTTAAGTGATCTGCCCACCTTGGGCTCCCAAAGTGCTGGGATTATAAGGATGAGCCACTGTG